CAGTGGCATTTGTCCTGGTGTATACCGGAATTAGTCCTAAGACAATTGCTACTGTTGCAAAGCCAGCGAAAGCACCACCTGCGAGTAATATCGTTTTTAACGCAACCATGAGGAATTAATGTTAATATTCGTTCGGAGGAAATAATATATGATAAAACGTGTTAGTAAATTAGAAATAAAATATTGAAAGTGACTGCGTTCGTTGCTTTTTTTTTGTTATACGTTACAGCATTATTGTCTTCTTTCGGTGTATCTTTTTTTTCTTGTCTTTTGAAGGTATTCTTATAATAATGATGTATACTGTCTTTCGCTTCTCGTCTCTCTGTGATACGCCTACAAGACTAGAAAATAAGATATTTTTCTATAGAAGAAAATCTCTTCGAAATGATAATTTTTTCTGTTAACAACTTTTTTTTTCTCTTTTCTTATTCATCATTTGAAGATGGCTTTTTCTTTAGAACAGCTAGTCGGATATGTTTCCGTGATGTTGAAACATAATGAAAACTAAAAGAAAAGAACGGTTTTAATATAGAAGTAGAGAAAACAAGAAAAAAAATAAGAGAAGATGCAAGAGAATAAGAGGTATTTTTTGAAATCTTCTTTATATGGTTTTTGTCATTTTATCGATTAGTCATTTTTGCTCTCGATTCTTTGCGATTGTTCTACATTTAAAAGACATCAATTTTAAACTTAACGTAGCATAATTTGTAAAAATATGCTTGTAGTTGAAAGTAGATCAAAAGTTAAACAGAAAAAGAGACTGAATAAATTTTCTTACATATCTTCTTAACATTACATTCTGAACGGTAGGCAAGATGATGAAATGTTCTCATTTTATAGGGCATAACAAAATATGTTTTAATTATGAAATATGATAAATAGTTGAATAATTCTGAAAAGAACATCCGTAATCCAATATATTTGCTTTTTAAATTTGATAGAAATTGATGTTATTGTGTTCGTGCAAAACAAAAATAGGAAGATGATTGGATTAGTATTTTGAAGAAAAATATTTAATATTTCTTTCAGCTTTTAATGCTATTTTTCTTAGATACCGCATCACGGCAGTGACATACGGTTACAGTAGAAAAAAAAAAGCTTTTTTTCTTTTCGATGAAACCTTCACTCGATATATGATGAACTCAATATTACATTCCTAATTGTTGTTCTGATAGAATAATTTTGAAATGACGCTAATAACTTTTTTCTTCTTTTTTCCAATGTTCAATATTAGCTCTTTGACACGTTTTATATGATATAAAACTTTGTCATATTTTTCATCATATTTTAACTAAATTAAGGAACATTTTATAAGCATGACAACTAAACGAAAATTGACAATGACTTGTCTTTATATTAATAAACTCTTTTGCCTATTCAATCTTTATTGTATACTATGACGATAAATAATTATATTTCTTTGAAGTTGGTAGTATCATAAAATATAAAGCAATTAAAATAATTCTTTCACTAACATATGAACATTCGTACCTAGATTCAATTGAATTCTATAAGTAACTATTCAATATAAAAATATTGTTTCGATTGTAAAAGTTGTTTTTACTTTTAGGACAAAATAGTTATTTGAAGGACATATACTTGATAAAATGTAAAAGAAATCAAAGATTTCTTTTTTTATACTAATAATAAATTATAAAATTATGGTTTAGCCATATGTTTCTTTTCATCAGGAAAAAAATCAAATGAAATGCATACATGTGTTTTTTCCATTGTTTCTTTCTTTCGTTGACATATTCTATGATTACTTTTCTTCCATTCATGGCTTTTTCCTATTTTAAAGTGTATGACAATCAGATATTTCTCTATAAAATTTTATAACTCAATTGATACTTGTTAACCCTTAAGATATGTATTTATGTGACGAACATTGAATTATTTCAAAATATTTTTTTTGTGTTCTTTCAATTTTGTTTTCGTATTATTTTCATTACCATTGATTTGACTAATAAATCAAAATTTATGTTCTAATCAATAAAATTTAATGACATCGTTTTCTACTTTTTCTTCGTCTTTTGCAACTGCAATCTGTTTCAATCCTTTACAACTAACACATCCTTAATAATAAAATTAAGAAACTATATTTTTTCTTATTTTGGATTTTTCCTTCCTTTCATAGTCATAAAATGATGTAATATTATCAAAAAAAAAAAAACAAGATGTAAAATTTTTTTTCTATTGTACAAGTTTTTTCCAACCTTCACATGTCAATGCCTTTTTTTAATGACGATCATTGATCAGTATTGTATTTATTTTTCAAAAGCTATTGTCTACACTACAACAAAACTCTATAAAAAAAAAAAACTACGACAGATGTATTCAATCACGGATGTTATGATTAAGAACAATCACAGTAATGAAAATAATAGTCGTCATTTAAACAATCGTTTACATCAGTCAATGTTCCACGAATACCGTTATAGCAGTAAGTAAAAATTGTATTCATTCTTGCCTGATAATTTTTTTATTCAAATGACACACCACACATAGTTTAATGTGAGTTTTAAAAATTTCTCCGTTAAAATAGAGAATAGCTGATAATTAAAAGTTCCGGAATGACATTGAAAAATGTCTGTTGGCATTACTTTTTTCTTCCTATGAATGAGTGAGAGCGAGCAGAATAGATAAAAATAAACCATCGTAACGTTGACAACTATTTTGCTGTTATTTTAATTATTTTATTATAATAGAAATTGTTATATTTCGTCGATAAATTTAAATAAAAAAAACAAAATAAGACATTGATAAAAAAATTCTAATGTACTAAAATGTTTTGTTCATAAATAGTTAAGAAAATAAAAATAATATATTCATTGTTTTAGAAACAGATGAAAAAAAATTAATGGATAATATTTATTTGTATATTGGTGTAGTTGTTGTTTTTTTAATTATTCTTTCTGGTATTATAATGATGCTTAGAAAATGCATAAAACATTATCAGAATAAAAAACAACCAGAACAAAGTATATTTTGAATTTCTTTACTTTTATTCGATTCATTAATATTTATTTATTTATTAGATATACAATCAAATGCATCATTAACAAAATTATTAATTACACAAAAACATTCCTCAGTTTGAAATTTATTACTTCAAAATGGTCAATGAAATCTTGATATCCGGTTTCAAATAAAATCTCGAAAGACATGAACCTACACATCACATCTAATTCCACTACCTAGTCGAAGACTTTGATTTTGTTTTGTTTTTTCTTTTGTTCAATAATGTAAACTTGTATTAATTTTGTAAAAAAAAAAACCAAAGCGTAAACATGTATTTCAGTAATAAATATTGCTTACATCTGAGCATCAATTTTTTTCAATACTAATCGAAATCAGTCATATATGAACCACACAGATTTAAAGCATATATCTATAAATATGAAGGTTATAAGTTAATGAGTCTACCATATGATGCTCTTTCTTCTCTTTGAAAGTTTACTTTAAATATAAGATGAATTATAAATAACTGTAAGATAAAAATAGGACTTTCTTGATTGCAGTTCGGTCAGACGAATTGATTTCTATTTTGATTTGTGAAACAGATTGATTTACACTTTTATTTTAATATGAATAATATAAATGAATAAGGATTTAATTTATCATTACTGACGTCACTAAAAAAAATACTAACTGTTGTCAAGTACCGGCTTTGCAGCAATACTAATTTCCTAATTTTTTCCTCATTTTATAGAAATGTCCTGATTTTCCTGCTTCCGACTGAAAATCCTGATAGTTTGCTGTTATTTGATGATTTGTTATCATAGAATTATACCGATAGGTTTATGATGTGTTCTATATTATATTTAATCTATTTTCAATATTTTTATTTTGAAAACAATTGTAGAATATTTTTCAATCAAGAAAGAAAAATATAATATTTATATTGTATTTGCTTTAACTATTTACTTTTTTTAAAATTTTTTCATAAGCGGTTTTAACTATAATAGTGATTTTCATCATTTTCAGCTCGTTGAAGTTTTGAAATCATTTAGTCTTACATAGACCATTGTTATTGAAGCACAGTCGATCATGAAAAAGGGCACTTCTCGCTTTTCATCGATATCTAGTTTCTTTATTATGTCGAACTAAATTTATAAACTAGTTGTAAAATTCTGTATGAATTTACCTGCATAATTAGTTTAACAAATATTATCCTTTTTTTGCTAAAAGCTGAATCTAATTTAAGTAAACGATTGGGTACAAAAATTTCAAGTTTTTTTTTTCAATTTTATTTCTACCCAGTTCGTTAAGTTTTAAGCTTTAATTTAGACATAATGCACGTTATTACTAATTAAACCTATTGGTACGAACTAAGCTTTTATCATGAAAAGCTTTTTGATAAAATCTATGACGCATATGTAATATTCCAAAAGGTAAATACAGAAGGAAAAAGCGAGACTTCAGTATTCCGAAAATAAGAGTGAAATACGATAAGGTATAAGTCAAATATCATACTTCAATTGAAATTCACTCGTACTTTGCACTGCTCAACACGAAAAAAAAAAGTGTTTTTCATAAACCTTTGTACTGTGTTCTGTTTTCATAAATATTTGTTGGGCATTGGAACGAAATAAATCCTTCGCCTGTTGGTTTATTCCATTCAGATACTCAAAAACGGTTTATAGAAACAGAAAACAGTATAGGAGTATATGGATGTGAGTGCGGGTTCTCCTTTCAGTTACACCTAGATCCACGCACACCACGTCGATATCCTGGTGCCCAGTCAAAGTCGACTATCGGAATTCTGACCACTGGGTTTCCAGTTCATTTCGATGAAATTTTCGCGGTATTGGTACGATCGGACAGAATCCAACGGATTCGCTTCGATATGCACAATACTAGGAAGTCCAACCACAATTACGTAGGATACAATCATTTTTCAATTTTAAACGTTAGCTTCCGAAGAAATCTGACATCGGATCCAAACTTTTACGGTAAAATTCAGAAGCCTAGGTGAATTATTTCCGTAGTGGAAAATATGTTTAGTGTATGCAAAACTTTAGTCACTGACGATAAAACATGAATAAACCATAAAAATGACATTCAAAATCAATTCAAATTTTGAGTGTATCATAGTAGGAAAGTTCAGCTGAGTTTTTCAACAAAAGTAGACGCCGACAAAAACTTTGAAACACGTATAAATCAACTCACTTTTTAATATTAATTGCAAGCATATTAATAATTTTAACTAAAGCCTTACTTTTTCTCATGGAAATGTGTAGAATACCAGTCAGATATGCAAGAAGGATGTCCAAAAAAAATTTCAACTCAACTTATTTAATAAAACTACTTCTAAACTAATCAAAAGTCAATACTGATTATTTTCTTTCTCGCAACCTAGAGAAAACAATACATAGAAATGAAGAAAAGTGATCATATAACTATGAATATGATCCTGACGCTTATTCGAAACAATAATATTTACATCATGTCTTATCAATAGCTCCATCTTTCACGTTGAAATGTTTATCAGAGATAAACTGTACATTGAGTAATAGATTGACATAGTTTTCGGTGCAAGAAGTGTCTTCGCATGAGGACATTTACTTACATCCACTTTCTATTTATGACTCATCTGTTTATAGTACAAAAATGAATACTTATATTTTGAGCTAAAATAGGTCGGAATCTCTCAGAAAGAGCTTCAGTTTGTTATTATATGATTTCTCAGGAAATCTAGCAACAAATAAGTCATGAAATCAAGACAAACTGAGCATAGTCCAAAAATGTCCTTTACGTACTCCTATTCATAGTATTCTAATTATCTTTGACTTCTATTTCAGCAAATCTCATTTGGCTCTCTAATCCTGCTACTGAAATTTAACACTTCGATGAAACACTACACTTCAGATGAATTTAAATTCATTCAGATGATATGATTAAAGCAACAAAATTATTCTCTGAAGTCAGTCTCATTGACGTTTTGATGCAATCACTTTCAATAGAATTGATATAAAATAGAGTTTGAATAATGATAACTATTCATATTCGGTACATCACTTCTTCGACAAAAATATATCATAATTACATTCATATATATATATAGAAAATGAAACCTTATTGAAATCTCTTATGCTAGATTTTCTTGTCGTTTGACATCTCACGATAGACGGAAATAAATTAAGTTATACAGAAGATACTTAGAGTAGCTTTCTAATTTCAATAATTATTGGCTGAAAAAAAAACATTCTGAAAGTGCTCAAAGTAGTGAAATTAAACAGGTCATTGAAGGCTTATAGTTAAATAACAGATTCATTTGTTGATTATATTCATAATTATTGTTTGTCTGGAATAATTTACACATATAGAATTAAATTTCATCAGTCTGCACCAAAGTTATATATAGCATAGTCTTGGTACCGATTGTTAAGCTATAAAATGTTCTGTTAGTTTGTTTATTTTAAAAACTAGGAATAAATTTATACATTTTAAATAAACGCAATACTTAATAACTATTAACTAAAGACCAAAGAGTTGACGTTTCTTTTATCGGCAACTTTTTCCTAATGCTATTTTTCATTACATATAATCGATAAATAGCATTTACGATGGAAAAATAACATAATAAAAAGCATATAGAACAGTCAATCGAGATGGATATAATGCAGTTCGAAACTGAATCTATGCAATTTAGATTAATATATACACATATCTAGAGCAAAAAAAAGTGATCAAAAAATAAAACATTACAAGCAGAAATGATATTATTCATATTTCCTCTCGTCTTTCTTTGTCTAAAAAAAACAGTACGTGACTAAACCTCTTACATCCTTTCGTGTAAAAAAAAGCATCTACGCAATAATCATGTAAATTATATTCGATAAAATGTTAACGCTTATTCTTTATCAACACAAAGTAGGTCAAAAACAATGAAAACTAAAAAATATTTATTATTGCATGTAATATAAGATATCGTTCTTTTATTGTACCCAGCATATAACAGTTTCAGAAGAGTCTTCTATTAGATTCTTCGTTATCAACTACTAATAATTAACACGACTCATTCAAATATGATTCTAGTTCGAAAGCTTTTCAAGATTAAAAAGCTGCTGAAATTATGTAAGATTCAGTCTTTGTTGATTTTTAGCTGCAATTTTTGAAAAGTAGATACATGTTGCCAATGAATATATTAATCAAAGTTACAGTTTCTTATTTAATTAAACAATTTATGAACGCTCTACGATTATGCTCGAGGTGTCATTCCTTCAGGAAGGACTTCTATTGTTAAAGGAATTTTCTATTACGCAGAATTTTCTATTATGGGAGAAAGACTTTAAATAATAATCGTTTAAAATATGACAAACAAATTGAAATATAAGTTGCATATGTCCAGTTATCTTTTATAGAATTTTATAATTTATTTTTTTCGATTCATTTTAGTTGAAATTAGGGGGAAATCTGAGTGAAATCTCTGTCTAATGCATAAGTAGTATATTAACACGTAGACCTAATGCTTTCTGTTCCTTTATAGAATCATTGATTCCGAATCAAAGAAACATTACAGATATTAATAGCAACTTTTTCATAAAGTTTTCATACTCAATGCATAACTATTTTATACTTTGAATACAGTTATTATGTATCTTAAAAATTATGTTACTCTATCGTAGTATAAAAATAGCGTCGATAATTGTAACATAATTAGAAAGTATTACAGAAAAGATTAGTTGTTTAAGAAGGAGAATTGAACATTTCCATGTTTTATTTTTATGACATCACTAAAGAAAATAATATTTTGTTATTTAAAATCTAAATTTAGAAGAAAAAAAAAATGTCAACATTTTTGCCGTTCTACTTCCTCTAGTTATTTTTTAATTAAATTTTTATTAGTTTTTTTTTTAAATAAAAATGATAATTAAAATATACTTTAAATAAATAACTTTTTACTAAATTAAATTCACGTGAAAATTTAATCAAACTATGCGTACATAGTTCAACAGTTTTTGTTGTCCTTACTGGTAGAGGTTAATTAAAAAAAAAAGAAAGAATAAATATTTGATGTTCTATGAAAATATTTTAAAAAATACCATTGTAATAATGATCGAAAAGTTTCTTTTATGTTTGTATTTCATTACTAAACTGCAATTGTGGAAGCATGTGCGCATGCAAAATACACAATTACATGATTTATGAAATGAAATTGAGCGACACTGAGAAACTTAGAAGAAGAAGAAGAAGAAATAAAAAGAGACAAAAAAAATATATCAGCTTGAAAATATAAAACCAAAATGAAGAAAGAAAAAAACAAGCGATATTTAAAAGGAAGATGAGGAAAATCTGGCCGCTGTTCGGGAGTTGTTTTTGTTATGAATTGTTTTAAAAGATATATTGAAATAATCAAGAAACTGCTTAGCAGTTCTTAAAGAGAATTTTCTTAAAATATACATAGGTAAAAACAAAACAAACGACAAAATAAACAAGGAAAGAATATATAAGTCACACGTTTACCGGTAAAAAAATCATGAGATAATTGACGAAAACGCATTAATAGAAAACAAAAAAAGAAAATAAATTATTTTTATACATAATCATCGTCATTAGCAGCAACATCAATGTGATAAAATCATGTGTAGCATGCAGTAACGATGAAAGAATATCAAATCACGAATTAATGGCTTGTTCATGAGACATGGAAATAAGATGTTTATATTGTACAATTGACGGCCAAAATTCACCTTAAAAAAAAGGAAAACAAGATTATGAAAAACATAATCTAGGTTCTTTTTTATTTAAATAATATTTAAATACATACGTTGCACTTCCATAACATGTTGTAAACTATGTACTGCATATAGATTTGGTTTAGCTTGAAGAGTTTCTTCATCAAATGATGGTAACTAAATTCAATAGAAAATTATCGAAATATTTTACAAATTAATAAAAACAAAACTAACATCTCGACCAAGTAATGCTTCAACACATAATTTTCCACATTCAGCTAATGCATTTAATTCATAACCGCCTTCTAAAACTAAAACAACTTTTCCATCAGCAAGTTTCATCAATTGATTTGTCATATAAGCAAAACCTAAAATAGAATAAGAAATATTCAACAAATAAATTCTTATTTTTATCTTTTTATTACATGTTGGTGTTAATTCATAACCACCAAGTGGATGTGGATGTCCCATACAAGCATCAAAACCACTTGAAACCAGAATGATTTGTGGTTGAAATTGTTCTAATATTGGCATAACAATACTTCTACAATAATAAGTCCTATATATTATCAATTATGATTGAAATAATGTTTTATTACCTAAATGCTGCTAAATATTCTACATCAGTCATTATTGATTGTGGTTCACCAGAAAAGGCAATATTCACATTTTTACCAAGACCATTATCACTTCCACACTAAAAAGAAAAACGAATATTAAGATTTTTTTAATTTTTATTTATTCAACAAACATCTTCAATTCGTCCACTACCAGGAAAATATGTTCCATTATCATAACGATGTAATGATATATAAAGAATATTTGGATCATTATATGTTAAATCTTGTGTACCATTACCATGATGTATATCCCAATCAACAATAGCAATACGATCAACATTTCGATGTTTTTTTAAATATTTAGCTGTTATAGCAACAGTATTAAAATAACAAAAACCTAATGGTTTGTCTCTTGCGTGATGACCGGGTGGTCTTACAATAGCAAAACCATTTTTTAATCTTCCATCAAGAACATTTTTTGCTAGTTCAATAGTATTACCAACAGATAAACGACAGGCACGTGCTGTATATAGTTCATTCCATATTGTATCGGTATCATCATGAATACCAAAACCACCACATGGTAATTGTACAATTGAATTAATTCGTTGAGTTAATAGCATTGCTGATTGTTGTGTACGTTGTCGTTGATCACAACCAAATAAATAAACATGAGTAGGACTATAGAAATTAAAAAAATCATAAGAAATCTTCCTATTAAAAAATTTTGTTTGTTATTTTTTTTTTCTTCTACTTACTCATGACAATCAGTTAATATATCAATTGTTGCACAATAATTATGAATTATTTCACAATCATCTAATAAATTACATTTTTTTAATTGTTCATAAATAACAAGTAAACGACGAGGATTTTCAAGATGAAGATCTGTACGTTTACAATAACATTCATGCTTTAATGTATCTTCATCATAAACAATTCCTTTTGTTTTAATAAACAAAAAAATAAATAAATAAATAAATAAAATCAGAAAAAAAAAAGAAAATTAGACTAATCTTACCTGAAGTAAAACGCATTCGTGTGGAACCGGAAAGATTTTTTTGTAATTTATTATCTGTTGGTGATTTTATCGCTGATAAAGATGATAATGATTTGGAATGCAATGCTAGCCGATCCGTTAATACCTATATAGTAAAAAGAAAAGATCAAAAAATAATTTTCTTATTTAAATAAAAAATTATTTGTTTTTCTAATTACATTTGAATTTTTATTAGTAAAATCATTGGATTCAAAATTAAATATTTGTGGTTGACTACTATGCATGGAACTATGGCTATTAAAAGGACTTTGAATTTTTGCTTCTTGTAATTCTTTAGCTAATAATGCTTCGTTTTCTTCTTCAACTATAAAATGTTTTGGACCAAGAATATTTGTACGATGTTGATTACCATACATAAGATTTAAATGATTTCGTTGACCATTATTAATTCCACTAATAGAACCTAAAATTATATTCAATAAAAAATTTTTCATATCTTTTGATTTCAATGAAATATATAATTTACCTGTTGAATAGCAACTATAAAGCTTCTGCTGTAAATCATTTAAATCAAGCCATAATTGTTCCGGTGGAGGTATTTGACCAGTTTGAGAATCAAATGGTATTATTGGAATAGGTGGAGCTAAAAATAGAAATAAATTCTTTGTATTTTTTTTTTCATGTAAAAATATACATGGCATGCTACATTGTATTAATAGTTTTAGTCCGATAATTGAATAGAAATAAGATTATTAAAAATAGTACTTTGTACTAAGTCCAAAGGATCTATGTTTATTTTAGTGGAATTCCGTTAAGAAAAGGCGTGCTTCTTCTTCTTTTTTTTTCTTTTACTAAAAATAAACTTTATAGAATATTAATGTAAATCAAAGCTTCTTTTTTTCTTCTTTGTGCTTTTGTAATTTCAATACTTTCAAGATATTTATTTGATACATACTAGCGTGTTTCTGTTTTTCAGCTAGAGTAGTCGAACGTATTGGATGGCGTTTATCTGACATTGGTGTAACATGCCGATGGCGATGAAGAATACTTTGACGTAAATCGGATTTTATTTTAAAATTGCCTGATTCGAGACGTGGATTGGCAAGTGTAGGTTCTGATTGAAATCGTCTTAGCATGTCGATTGATTCTTGGTTTCTATAAGATTATTTAAAAATAGTTTTGGAGTTATTTTTTGTTTTTTTGAAAAATTTTTAATTTACCCTAGTTTGCCTTCTTTTTGTAATTTTCGACATATAAAACTTTTTAAATGAGTTTTAACCTCAGCCGATGCATTTGCACCTGAAAAGATAAAAAAAATACAAATATGTTATCTCGATATTTTAAGAAATATGAAAAAAATTAATAAATATTACTTTGATCTTTTTTATCTTTAGCTTGAACACGTAATTTTTCTTCTTCGAGACGTGTTCGTTCCATCGCTGATGATGCCATTACAGCAGCAGCTGTTGCAGCGGCTATGGCTGCTGTAACCGATTCTTGTCTATCAGGGTCAATCAATTGTGAATAAGGAAGCTGAAATAAATATTAAAAAAATGTTAATGTTTGTTTTTTTTTAGTCTATTAAAGTTAGTGCGTACGAATAACGATGGGAAGAAATTTGAACTTCCATTATTTGTATCATTAGTACTATTAGGAGAGCCAAGTGAATTATTGGTGACTAAAGTTGAGGGTCGACAAAGGTCAACCATGAAAGATTCTTCTGTTTTGTAAAATATTTTTCTAGAAAAATAAAAATCAACAATGACAAAAAAAACAAGGATTGTGGTTAAGATGAGAACAGTAATTAAAAAGAAAAAAAGGAAAAAAAAAATGAAACATTCCTTTACAGATGCTACTCTAAGTTTGCTTTATCTATGTCTGTCAGTTGACTTTAGTTGAAGTATTTTTTTTTCTTTTCCTCTTCGTTCTATGTGTCTTTGTGTATCTCATTTTTCTATTTTTATATGAGATGAATAAAAAGAAAAAAACTTCATAGCGAGAAAAAATAAAAGATAAAAAAAAAAGCTGAAGCATGACAGAAAATATACTACTGACAAATAGGGTTAATAAAGGTTGTTTGGATTTAAATAAATGATAATATAGAAGAAATTAATAACGTCTATTTATCTAATCATTTTGATTTATTAGCGTTTATTAAAACGAATATGTCATTTATCTGTCATATAATGCACTGCAATAGTTTGATGACCTATTTTCTTATTTTTCTGTCAATTGTTAACATTGATAGGCATACACTATTTATTGCACTCGCTAGTTTAATCAAAAACAGTTTGGTTTGTTTATTGTCAGTATTGAAAATGTACGTAAAAAAAAGCTTTCAAGCAAAAGAAAAGACTGTTTCGGCCATCTAATAGTAACTATGTTTCACTTGTCTCATGCGCATTAATCTACTTCAATTGATCGCATTCTTCCATTTCTACTTCTACTGCTATTGGTCAACTCACAAAAAAAAATGCAAAAATATGCATGGTAGTACATCACCCAGTCCCTCCCCCTTCTCTTACGTTGCAGTGACAGCTCTCTTTCTCTCTCACAGGTGCGCAGAATCGAATTCGTCAACAACACTCTTTAAGCAGCTATTTCATATAAAATTTTGTTTGACGATATTGCTCACGCATATGTATATAATGCATGCTTAAAATGGCATAACGAAATTTATTCTATTCTAAAAAAAAGTAGACACACTCTGCATGTCATATCTTTTTCTTGTAAATGCAATACAAAAACAACACGTATATAAATATATATATAAAAATATATATACCTTTTCTCTCTTGTCGGTTATTTTTATTATGAATGAATAGAGAAAAAAAAAAGAAAATGAGAAAAGACGAACAGAATGAATAAATGAATGCCTTAGTAAAAATAATAATAGTCACAAGAGGACATAAAATTCTGCACGAATAGGAAGAATGGAAGAAGAAAAAAAAATAATCACCAACTGTTAGGCATTCGTTCAAAAGAAAAAAGGAAAAGAGATTTTTTTCAAGTATCAATTTTAGTTCTTTTTTTAAAAATTACTGCGACATTTGTCACATAAATGAATCTCACCTGTCTTTTTTCTTGCTTATTTATTGATTGCGTGGACGTTATTTTTGTTGATGTTATAGCTGCCTGTTTCGTCATGTGTTTTACTATATATAGATATGATGGACGATCCATATAGGTGTTGATTGCATATAATGTCTATTTTTGTTTGCTTCATCATTGCTTTTGTCGAGTAGTACATTGACTATTATCTACTGTCAAACATTTCTTTCTTTCATTTCTTCTTTTTCTCTTTTTTTTTCTTCTTCTTATTAAAGGAATTCACAACGACACGATGTATTATTCTTTCCGCTTTTCAATAGGCATTCATCAAGCATTCTATTTTTTTCCTTGCTATTTCTGTCTACTACGAATATTAAGCCTTGACCCTAAGGCGATAATTGCCAATGTACCTAAAATTCTCATTATTTGCTATTATAATCTTATGTTTTCATATACCAATAGATCAAATATTGTGATCGATTGAGAGTAAATTTCGAATAAATCAATACAATACTAAAAATAAAATTTCTTGAACGATGGTATGAAAATGTTTAATCGTGTGTAAATAGTATTAATAATACTACAGTAAGGCTATTCTTATTGGATCCATTTTTAAGATAGAAATTTAAAAAAATCGAACTTTTGAAAGACGCTTACCATCGATAAATATTCATTTCAACAAAACTTCTCATCAATTAATAGTTTACTTATAAATATAACGTCGAGACGACTAATGTAAAAGAACTCGGTCGCAAAACAAAGAAAATATAGACCTAGAAATAAGCATCAAGAACGACATTCTGTCATATCCTGACGCAAATACACATATGCATTGAGAGAAGAAAAAAAAAAAGAGGAGAAAAAAAAAGAAAACAAGGACAAAGAGATGAAGCTAAAAATAGCAGCAAATGTGAGTGCTATTGTAACGTAGTGTATTTTTTTCACGTTTTCGTCATTTAAGCATCCACTACTTCGAACTCGCCGAAGACACGCGAGCATAGCTTAGATGAGATATGATCAAATTTATATTCTTTTCTGTTTTTCCTCTTTCTTCTTTTATTCTTTGTCTTGTTTTTTTCTTGCTACAACACTTACAGAATTCTCTAGTGACAACAAGGATGACGATTTTTTTTTAGTAGTAGCAACATCGTCGCAATATGGTTGCATGACATTTATAGTTCCTTATTATATAGGATTTTCTTTTCTGCTAGTACTATTGGCATTAGACCGAAAAAAGAAAACTAAGGACATCATATATTTTAATGATGATAATGAAGATTAAAAATGTATTTCGAACTATTGGGAAAAAAGAATATTGTTACTAAATATAGATAATGCTAAAAATAAATCTGACGACCTTGTAACAGTAATTACATTTGAAAGTATGTTAAACCATGATCTATAAATAGAAACTATGGATATAACTGATAATGAAGATAAGAATAAAAAGCAAATATTTTCTTACATGATGGTACTCAAAGGATTATGACAAATAAAACGAAATGTCTATATGAAATGAAAGCCGTGTATGACCTCTCTTTATCTTTAAAAATTAATTTTTTTTGTCAAAGAACTGTTATTTGCATTTATGACGTTCTGTTCTATTTAAGAATAGAAAAACATACATCTCTCTATAGATGATCTTGATTAAATCATGACTACTCAAAAACCTATTGCAAATGTTAAGACATGTGATCGACTATATGAGTAGAGGTCGTAGGACTCTGACATCGACAAAAAAAAAAAAAAAAAAAACTTGCATGATTGGCGCTCTCATTCAACAAATTAGCTATCATGTTTACTTTTTTTTCTTCTCTAATACATATATTACTCGTCGCTGACGGCAAATCGATCGATCGATTGTGGTCAGACGGATGTCCGTTGATTGTCGACCTTTTTTTTTTTTTTTATTTGACTTTCGAATGAATGTATCATCTGCAATACATCAACAATGTAATGAATACCTCTCTATTCTTTTTCATTCTTCCTAATTGTCTTAAAGAGCATGAATATGATTGGTTTTTTTTCTTCTGATCATTGTCGTTTGTTGTCCTTGGACATTTGTTCATTCGTTTCTTTGTCCCTCCATTGTAAATATATACAATCAAGACTAGTCCACTGGTCGGTATCCTTTTTTTTTTTTTTTTCTTTTTTTTTCTTGTATATGGTAGGGTAGAATGTCAATAGTTTGCCTCATCTATCTCCCGATAAACATCTTTTCTTTCACAATTGACCTTTTTTTTTTTCTTTCTCCGATAGTAATCAGGAAAAAAAACCGTTTTTTTTTTTAACATACTGATCTGTTTCTATATTTAGATACTCGTTTTCTCTTTAATTTTTCTTAATTAAATCTCTTTTGTCTTATTAATATTATTATTTCTTCTAATGCATCGGTTAACTATCATTTATTGTTATTGGCATCAATATCTTCGAGAACAAAGAATAAAACTATACTATTAGTGATTGATAGGTGGGACGGTTGTTAGTAACTAAACGAGAAATATTACGACAGGCGGCAAGCATTAGCAACCGAGATATATATTTACAAGAAAGCAACAAAGGAGAAGAAAATTACGATAACAGAAAGAGAAAAAGAGCAAAATGGCGGACATCCTCATCCAACCAGCTGTACCTTCTCTTTTTACCCATACTGAATCAGCATCAAATCTTATCGTTGATTCACCAACAGCAGATTCTAATAATAATACAACAATTCATCATAGTCATACATCACCAAATAATAATATTCATGACAACAGTAACAATACGAATACTACTAATAAATATATTGGTCATGTGAGTAGATTACGTAGTGTATTTACTCAATATGCATTAACATTAAATGATTTAAAACCTGGCGAACATCGATCTCGTTATTGTAATCATCATCAAGGTCTTTTATCACCAACACGTGGTATAGCTGATGGTGCTGATGAAAATTCATTATCACCACCAATATTATCATTACCATTAGCAACAACATCATCATCAACAATAATTGAACGTAGTCGAAGTTTATCAAATCCACGTATACTTGATACAAATTTATCAAATATGAATCCAATGCGTAATGGTCTATCATCCTTAACCATGAATGAAAATTCTTTAACAACAAGTACTAATACAAATGAAGATCATACAATACGTTTTCGTAAAGCACGAGAAATGTTTCAAACATTAGAAGAAGAAGCAGCACGTACGACAATATCATTAACAACAGCCGGAACAACAACAACAACAACAACAACAACAACAACTAAACCAATAAGGCAAAATGAACCATTTAATGATGAAACATATCAACCAGATATAATGCATGATAAACAAAAAATAAGTATACCAAAAATAAATACAGAACATATACCTGATCTTATTATTGATCATCGACAACAACAAATTGAACATTCAACAAAAAATCATGATACAAATTTAAATCGTATTCGTGACATACCAGTACAATTTATTGGTGCATCAACTTCATCATCACCTACACATTCTGATCGATCATTTACATCAATACCAATTCATCGAACTCCACCACCATCAGTTCCTTTTATTTCAAATGATGATGTACATTATGCTATGGTGAATCGAAAACAAATAAATTCTGATCAACATTATGATTTTCCAGCTGATGCTATTGAACAATTAAAAAAAC